TGTGGAAAGACATCCTATCAAGTACGACAGGATATCACGATATACGAGCTCATCTTAGTATATAAACGGCCAGGGCATCCAATACCGTATACGCTGTATATATGTATACACCACAACATTACGTTTGTCTATCGGAGGTCATTTATGATGAAATTCATCACCACACCGTGAATCCCTTATTATGATTCCTCATGAACATCGACACTCGCACCAACAGGCCGTTGGCATTGCGAATAGCGAGGCACACTGTGCCTGCCAGGTGAGACTCTCAGAGTCTCAGATATCAGTTTTGCTGCGTCTACGACCGCGGTACACTGCAGCTGAAGTGGACTGATGTGCCGCAAAGTATGGGGCCGCCACATTGGGTTGAATTTGCACGGCCAGTTCGTGCTCGGTAGTCATTCTGCAACAAGCAACAAAACTGGCAGGTTAGCGCACGCAGGATGGGTGGGGACACGTATACGCCAGCGGATGAACTGGTTGTGTGCGAAGAACCAAAGAAAGAGACCTGTGGAATCGACGAAAGCCACGTCAACGCCGGAAAGCAGCCCGACAACGACGTAATATCTGGAAATACGCTACAAGTTGCGTGTATGAACGGCGACCTGGATTCTGTTCAGAGTTTCCTAGCTCGTGGGGCTGAAATCGACTCAAAAGATGAAGATGGCTACACCCCATTGGCCTACGCGGTGGAAAATGGGCATACGCGAATTGTTAAAAAGCTGCTGGAAATGGGTGCATCTATCGACACGGTTAGCAACGATGGGCGGACAGCTCTTATGTGTGGTTCGGACAAGGGCTATCCCGATGTAGTTAAGGTGCTCTTAGAAAACGGCGCTGAAGTCGACAAAGCGGGGCGAAACGGAGTCACGGCGTTGATTCTAGCATGTCAAGAAGGGAACATTGGTACAGTTCAAGCGCTTCTCAAGCATGGAGCATCGGTAGATTTGGTCAATGAAGAAGGTGAGAGTCCTCTTATGGTTGCAGTCGTCAATGGACATCTGGATGTTGTGAAACTGTTGTTGGAAAACAGTGCGAGTATCGATTTGAGTAACAATAGCGGGTG